AAATATGGAAAATGGATAGATTAATCTTTTCTTGAGATTGAAAATATATAATTGAAAGTATTGAGTTCATTGTTCGAAACGAAATCCTGATTCATTTGTGTTATCCATTTTACGAATTCTACAAAGAATAACTAAAGAACAATTCGAGGTAGAAGCATTCTTCTCGCCATGACATGTATTTTTGCGTAGTAGAGGACAATGATAGTATTTGTTAAATAAAAAAATTACTCAAAATCATGCATTTTTGACATATTTAGATGAATTCATGAAGAATAAGATTTTTTTTTGTCCTCTATCTTTTTTCTTCATTTCCTACCAATTTAAAATATTAAAACGGATAGTTTATCATAGAGCGCTATTATTCGTATGATATTAAAAATGTAAATTATTTAATTTTAGTTTGGAATTCTGAATTGTATTAATTTATTTATATATGTTGACAGAACAAAAAAAAAAAAAAAAGCGGCTAATCGAACGAGAAGGTATAATATATTACTATTGATGTGAAAGACAACTCATGCGATTAAGATAATCTTAATTAGTTTAAGCAAGCATCCTTAAGTAACTAGAACCACTCCTTTGACGGTTCATAAGCTAATGATGATTATGCTCCATTATGAGTTTTAATGTGATATTTATTGATTCTAATTTAAAATGATACTTAAAATTAATAAAGAAATGTGTGAAGAGGCACATTATGTCGGGGTGCAATTTCTTAATCAAGTTTAACTAAATCTCATAGGCCATGACTACTCCTACACGAGTTGACTTAGACCACCAATTAAAATATATATAAAAAATGTAATCTAGTAGACGAATAAATTATTAGATAGGTAGAAATAAAGTGAAATTTTCTTACATTTATTTAGAGATAATATCAAATCGATTAGGACAAGATGCTAGCTTAGCTACATCAGTTTCGAACGTAATAGACGATTATGAAACTTAACAACCCAAGTTTTTTTTGTCTGAACCAACGGGTATATTCTGACATTACCGTTGAAATTAGCTTTCATATTACTATGCTTTTTAGTGAATTCGTTTTTCTTGCATAATTATTTCAACGGTAATACCAGCTTAATTTCTAGAAAATTATTAGTGTATGTAAAAAGATTTAAGAAAATCAATTTAATTATCAATACCACTTAATCACACTTATATTTTCGGTAACATCTCATGATATATTATATGGTTAAGCGCAATTGAAAGGACTATATAATTCTAAGATATGAGATACATCGTAGAATGACTTTCATGACAGATTAAATTAAGAAAATATCGAAGAAGTTTTCAAGGTAGTTTGCAGGTGGAGTCAAAAATATTTTTCAAAATAATATGAAATTGCACCAACTATCAAACGAAGGTAAGATCTATAGTCGCAAATTGATCGTTTTTTTGCAACTAATTTGTGACCACAGTTGTATAAACCTTATTAATTACAATAAATATATAAGATTTAGAACTCATAAAATATAAGTTTGTGAGTATATACTATATAGTCAAAAATTAGATAGTAATCTGGACAACTAAAATTATTCTTAAAACTATACTCTGTACAGAACTATAAGCTCACGGCATGCTAAAGTTTGTGCTACGTGTAGATTATACACACTACACAGAGACAAGTAGTTGCTAGATAGAGGGATAGAGTTTGAAGCTTTGAAAACATCAATGCACAATGGAAAATGATTAGCTAGTGAAGAGGGAGGCTTTAATTAGTGCCTTTTTTTTTGGACAACAAATTGGTGCCATTTTAAAACAATTATATGAATCAAATTAGTGTAGTAAAAAGTTTTCAGAAGTAAAATATTTTAATATCATTAGTTCTATCTGAAAACTAGTTCTGCTTTTTGTGATTAGAGGTTAGGAAAAGCTATCAATTAGTATAAAAGTGGTCATAATATTTTTAACTTCATCTCTTTTTTTGTATAAGAGCAGCATTATCGGTCGTTCCTTAGCAGAATTCTTAATAATTAAAAAAAAATAAAATAATGAAAAGTAAAGAAAAGGAAGAGAGAGAAGCTGTAATAGCTCTTAGTTAAGAGGCGTTATCACAAACCAACAGACACGTGCACCTTTATTAATGGGTTATCTATATTAAAAAACTAGAATATAATTGTAGCATTAAAATATTATTATTTCTTGTGTTTTTAGAAATCTGCTAAGGAACGACCGATAATGCTGCTCTAACTATTTTTACCGTTTTATTTATTTCTTTTAATGATGGTATCGCTTACTTCTTAACTTCTTTTTCTACTATAACTGTTTTATGTCACCGGTGAAATATATTGTTTTATTTTGAGATAGGTTGTAGAGTTTTGAATGTAAATATTTAGTTATTGTTTAAATTTTTTAAGAATGTCACTAATAAAATTCTGATGTGATTGTGATTTACATATACTGCTTTTATCGGTAGCTCCGCTTATAACATCAATCAGGTCCACTATTTGAGTCCATTTTTTGTTATATCTTGAACCAAAATTTATAGTACTTTTATGTAAAAGCATTGATCAGAAAACAAAATAAAACTAAACAACTTCTTAAATATAATTAAGCATCAGAAGATTCAGAACCCACTAAGTGGGAAATTAAATTCTCGTTTACCACTGATTTCCAAAAATATCACCTCCACCCAAATTGTAGGCAGCTTTCTTTCATTCTACTGATAGAACTGAATCACAAAGTAATACTAATAAATTAACAAAGTAAGAATAAATGAGTAAGGAATTATTCATTGAGAGCTCTGGGAATCCTTATTATTAAAAAACAAATTCTCCATTTGATTTGACTAACCATATTTATATATAATCTTTTTCGTATATGATTTTATTCATTTCTGTCAATACAAGTTTGAAGTTTGTGTGTTGCCATCAAATTGTTAAAGTATATTATTTTAAAATATATATATATTTCAAAACGGGATGAAATTATTAAGCTGATGAAAAAATTAACCACATGATCTAATTTTGATTGCATCCGGTTCACAATCTGATTTCGTCAATAGACAAGTTATATTGGTAAAAAAATTAAAAATTTGTGCTAGGATATATACAAATATTTAAGCAGTAAAAAAATTGTGTGCTTAAAAGCTCAAAAAGTTTCATAATAAATTGGCCGATAATATTGAAACGGTCTAAACAATAATACATATATAATTAATAAGAATAATTTTTTTTTTTCGAACTAACTCATATATTTATCAAATAGTAAAATTTTAAATTGTAAAAAATGAAAATAGATTCACTGACTCAAAAAAACAGATGGCAAAAGCATAAGAAATACTTTTCAATCGACTAAATCTTTTCAACTTATGCAACTTTTACTTGACTATTTATTTTTGGGGACTGTTTTCTAATGTTGCCTTATTTTTAATGATTACTTTTTAAATGGTAAAATTTCGTAAATTTTTTTTTTTGTGCACCAAATTATATATTGCTCAAATAATATTCTGGCCATACAAACTTATACAATGTTTTGCAATGGTATCAGCTACAACATCAGTTGACCGAGGAATAAAACGACAAGCAAAACTAGAAAAAGCGATGATACTAAGTAAAATATCCGCCAAGTAAAAGATCTTAACTCTATAACAAAAAGATAACCAAACAAACAGAAATTGGCTCATGGCCACTGACTGATGTTATTGCTATCATGTGTAGAAAGTAGAAACAACAACACTCATGTTTTTTTATAAACCAAGAAATAAAAAATAGAGAGCTTATGTTGTGTTTAAACTCTTTGACTTTGATATTCTACATACACATCGTTATTAAAATTTCCCGCTCGTGTGACAATAATATATGAATATAGTGTAAGATGTCTTCATTCAAATTTGTGGGTCTAAATTATTGTTAAACGTTAATTAATTTAAATTTTGTGGTCTCCCACACTAGCTTGGAAACAGCTTTGCCCGAAATGACGTAAAGCCTCCCAATTATGACGGTAGATAATAAACAACACCGTCTTTCTTGATGTATTATTTTGGTACTTTACCTTCTTTTTTTTCCCTTAAAACTGATAAACTACATACAATTTGCAACTTTAGTTTTAGTTAATTAGATCGTTGCAAACTTTTGCTGCTTTATTTTATATTCCACTTAAATAAACGATAGCGGAAAAAATTCAAACTCAAATTATAAATTTTTATTTTCATGCATATCATATCAACATTTCCTTTTTATAGTCACTAATATTTATAACATACTAACATACACATCTTTGTATGATTGTTTTAATATATATCTACATATTCATATATCAATGGCTGGCCAGAAATCTCAGCTCTGAGTGTGTGTGTGTGTATCTAACCATCTATGCATTGGATCGGATCGGAGTAGAACACTGTCCTTATTCGAAGAGGGTAACAGATAACACACGTGTGTTCAAGATTCGACGAGAATGACACCCAAAAAAGTACAATATATATGTACGTTTTATTTAATAAAGTGTTTTTTTTAACAGCTTAAATTTAATTTTTATACCTTCATATTTAATGATTATTAGAAATCAGATCAAATTTACAAGGAAAAAAACCCTAAAATTTTAACCTATTAAATAAGCCTAGTGAAGTTTAAAGTTCATATTGGAGCAACTAAAATCATAATTATTATGAATAATATTGAAGTTAGTTAAAAAAAATATAAAAAGTAGTTAAACTATATGCATGCTTGAACTTGGATTTGAATACTCCGCAAAAACAAACTATAAGGGGATTTTTTTTTTTGTCAAAGTTTACATTTCTGTTTTTGTTTCTGGTATTTTTGTTAACTTTTAGTTGTGAAACTACAAAGGGTTAACCAACAAGTCTTAATGAATTTTCTATAGATGGGGCATCTAAAATCTATTTTTAATAAGGTCGTAGACCAAAGTCAGAGAAAACACGGCTATGTCTAGGTGTATATATATAGCCTCCTTGTACCTCAAAACTTAATTACTTGTGAAGCATTTGCTTTCTTTCACCAATCTCTCTTACTCTTCCTCTCTCAATTCTGATATTTCTACGAAGAATGTTTTAAGTTTTTTTGACGACTCACGACTCGTTGAGGTGATCTACCAAAAGGACTAAACAACAAAACATATTCTTTATCCCAACAAAAAAGTCAATCATCATGAAGTTCTCAATCTCAACACTGAAGCAGGTACAACCAATCTTGAGCTTCAAGAACAAGCTATCTAAGGTCAACGTCAACTCTTTTCTCCATCCCAAAGAAAAAGTCGTCTTCGTGATGGGAGCTACGGGATCGGGGAAGTCTCGTCTTGCCATCGACCTAGCAACTCGTTTTCAAGGAGAGATCATAAACTCCGACAAGATCCAACTCTACAAGGGCCTCGACGTCCTAACAAACAAAGTCACCCCTAAAGAATGTCGAGGCGTGCCTCACCACTTGCTTGGAGTATTCGACTCCGAAGCCGGAAACATAACAGCCACCGAGTATAGCCGCCTTGCATCACAAGAAATTTCAAAACTATCAGCAAACAACAAGCTTCCCATAGTAGCCGGTGGATCAAATTCTTACATCGAAGCACTCGCGAATCATTCCTCGGGGTTTTTGTTAAACAACTACGACTGCTGTTTCATTTGGGTTGATGTTTCCTTACCCGTACTAAACTCCTTTGTCTCAAAACGTGTCGACCGCATGATGGAAGCAGGATTACTCGAAGAAGTAAGAGAAGTGTTCAATCCGAAAGCGAATTACTCCGTAGGAATAAGACGAGCAATAGGAGTCCCCGAGCTCCACGAATATTTACGTAACGAATCTCTAGTGGACCGTGCCACACAAAGTAAAATGCTTGAAGTAGCGGTTAAAAATATTAAAAAGAACACAGAGATATTAGCTTGTCGACAGTTAAAAAAGATTCAACGGCTTCACAAGAAGTGGAAGTTGTCTATGCACCGTGTGGATGCGACTGAGGTGTTCTTGAAACGCAACGTAGAAGAACAAGACGAGGCTTGGGAGAATCTTGTAGCTAGACCAAGCGAGAGAATCGTCGATAAGTTTTATAATAATAATAACCAAGTGAAAAATGATGATGTTGAGCACTGTTTGGCGGCGTCTTACGGTGGAGGAAGTAGTGGAAGTAGAGCCCACAATATGATATGAAAAGTTTTGTCATTGATCATGTGAAGCTTTTTGGAGTGTGAAAACGATGAGTCTCTAAGATTTCGTATGTGTGGTGGTGATTCCCCAGAGGCTTTATTTCAACGTACAGGTGTGACATTACCCCTAAAGAAAAAAACAAAAAAGTTTTTTTTTGCAAGTGTTTGTATAGAAGATATTCGGTTAATATTAATTGTTTGATACCTATTGACTACGAGTTCACGATAAACCGAAAGTTTTAATTCCTTGTGCCACGATATCACACTTATGTGTATTGTTTATAATATATAAACAATTATTTTGTATTGCTTTTTGTTGTGTTAAGTATATCTTGGCCTTACATTTACGCATTCATGTTATTGGCTGAGCAATAAAAAATTAAGTATAACAGTTAAATTCTCCTGATTTGAAACGTCCTTTTGGTGTATGACAGTTTAGTATGCTCAATATTTTGAATTGGTTAATAATATATGCATGTTTTTTTTTTTCGATTAATGATTCATGCATGTTAAAGACATATATGTATATATGTTCTGTTTTTGTTAATGTAATGAACGTTAGGGTCTTTCATCTGTCTATGTTTTTTAAAATCAATGGGTATTAACCTTTATCCAATATCAAAGATTGAAACTCCTTAACCATATCAAGTTTAAGTGAAAATATAAGATCATATTGTATTAACCTTTGTAAAATTCTACTTCACATCTGCGTATAAGTTGAGTAGACACGCTAATAGATATTATTAACCAACAATAAAATAATAACATTTCCGAATTATTTTTAACAAAAAACATATCCGAATTATATATTTACGTGATATAACTATAACAGACTAATTAACACTTAATAGTGTATAGAATTATAAACAACTAATTTTGAGATCAAATGATCTTTTTTTTGTCAAAAAGATCAAGTGATCTTTCGTATATTAACAGGTAATATGACAGTCGATATGATTCAAAGGTAATTTGAGAAGAGACTACTTTAACTTTGCTAACGTTACGGGTTTTGGCAGAATTACGGATTTTGGCCTAAATTAGGATAAAACCTTGAGTGCACGAATGTCACCTTGTGATTTTGCACTAGACTACTTGAGTTATCTATTTACACGTTCTCTTTCATGTAGCATCAAAATTTGGGACAGTTCAAGTAAATAAAATACTTTGAACAATTATAGTAAAAAAAAAAAAAAGTGAAAGGAGGAGAATCTTTAAGTTGAGAAAGGGAAGAATCAAAGAAAGAACATGGAAAAAGAGCAAAGAGCGCGTGGTAGGCGCGTGGCAAGTAAGTGAGTTCAGAAGTCTGTGTCAATGACTTGGAGAAAATTGCACGCGCAGCTTAATTTAAAGATCTTCCGTACATAAGAGCAAAAGCGTGTGGAGAAGGTTGGATCAATCATAAATTACGTTCGTACAGTTGTGAAGAGACATTGATCATTATTTAGATAATACTTGTATCAAGTAGTATTATGTTATTGTTGTTATTCATGGACCCATCCATTAAATTGGATTGTACACACGTCAAGTCATTAACGCATCTAGGACAAGGAGGTGGTGAACTAAACAGCACTAAACTAATGTCATAAGGAGACAGCATCTGATGTCTTTCTTTTCCCTATTCTTTCGTTTTATAATTTTTTTAACGATTTTTTTTTCTCTTTGGTGTACAATTGTGATGTTCTTCTGATAATGATTTGTGGGGTTAGTAGTTTGAGATGAACTTGAAAGCACTAAATAAGAAAATTGTGTTTTAGGACTTGAATTCTCATTCACATTAATCAATATATAGTCGGCCAATCAGTATTGTTCACCGGGTATATACAAATTATAGGCCACGATTAATTCTGAAATATTGACACTCAAACAACAAAAAGAATATTGTATAAGTAACTCATATTAATGATGATTATGATGGTGGCTCTAAATTGGCACTATAAAATAGAAGAGAGTAATGTTTTCTTAAGGCTGAAAAGATGAAATATAACAAATCAAAGGTTGATATTGAACATAGAAAATACAAAAAGCTGCTCTTTATTTATTCCCTCAATATTCTATATTTATCGTATTATGACGCAAATGGAAATTGTGTTATTATATTTTGGAGAAAATGGCGAATCGTTCCCTAAAATATTTATAAAAAATAAACAATCTTTTGTGGTGCGCTTAGTCTCTTTATTTACAGATTTTATTGGTCCAACGTCAATGAGTTCTTTTTTTTTTTCCATCAATCGTATTGCATTCTACATATTCCATATCGGGCCATGCTTATCTTGTTATCTTCAAATTATTTACACCATTTTCAAAGGTTTTTTTTTTGTTTCTTCCAAACAAATTAAAATCAATTTTGATTACAAAATAATTTTTAAACAAAATGTCATTTTTATATTGCCGCTTACTAGCTAAAAGCTAGGATTTAAGCAAATAATATGTTATATAAATAATTAAAATATTAAAATATATTATTAATTTTTTTGTGTAACACAAATTACACAATGACGCACATACTAATCCGTATCTAGTAAAAATATTTGAATATGCTACAAGTCTTGGTCTAGTAAAAAACATTTGAATATAAATAAACAATATTTATACATCTGGCATTAATACTTTTGCAAATATTAATTATATATTTTCATTTAATATGATATCTAATGAAGATTTTTGAACTAATTTAAATCATAATTTATACATTTTTCTCCAATATAATAAATTGAATCTGAAATCCGGAGATGATTTTTTTTGTTATTACTAAACACAAAGTAGATTGTATTATTTCCTAATCATGTGAATAACTAAAACATAGTTATATGTTGAGTTGCAACTTCAAGAACAAAAAAAAGGTTTCTTAAAACACATTACACTCTTTAGAAATCATACCCAGAAAATATCAAACGGTATTACTTTTAATCAAAATATAACCCTAAAAAGAATTATAACGAAACAGTGGGAATATGAATATATGACCCACAATGCTCGTAGCTATCTAGAATCTAAATTTGCAGAATTTTAGGCCTTCAATTCTGGTATGTCTTCGTCTCTTTTAGATGTGCTTTTGCTTTTTAAAGCCCATTTTGTTTTATGAGTCTGTTTTTTTTTTTATTCTTAGCTTTTCTAACGTACAAGAAGAATATATAAGGTCAACATCAACTTTTTGCAAAGGGAACCTAAGTTCAATGCCAAAGTTCAGGTTCTGAGCACATAAATACAAAAAGAAGAAAACTTAATTTCTAAAACCAATTTTATTCCAATGAGTGAATATTTTTCCACGTCACATTGTCGTCTTTCTTCTTTTGTGGGTTAAAGAAGTTGGAGCCTTGGAGACACTGTTCCATCCTTATGCTGCATGCGTGTAATCCGTGGGCATCTCATTCTCATCATAATTTTACTAACAAATACATGCATGTCGCAATCCTAAGTATTCTAAAATCTCATGTACTCAAAACAATTTTTAAAGTTCAACAATTTCTTACCAAAAAAAAAACTAAAACAGCCTCGTGTGAAACTTGGCATGATCATGCATGTCAGTCCTTTAACTTTTTATTTGATAAAAGATTTTCAATTGAAATAGCAAGAGAATAAAAATATTACTGTTAGCCCGTAGGCCCAGTTCTAATGAAAGCCTATGAAAACATATTTTTGAACCAATCATAATAATAGTTTAATGGGTACGAAGCCCAAAAAAGTGTTAGCCCATAGCAGTTTTATTAGTAGAGCAACATTCTTCAACATCTTGCAATCGGAGAGGACTTTATCATCCAATTGGCTCTTGGGATCTAGTGTTGGCACCATCATTGGAGTAACAATGAAGCTTATTTTAGGGTGTTTCTTGACTCCCTTAAGGAGAAACGCTATTTCTCTCATCGTTAAATCAATTTCGTGGAATCGAAACTGTATTGACGAAGCCGGTTCCATCCATAGAGACTCTAAATAGATTATACCCGTAAAGTCAATAACGCGATCCAATTACGTTTTATGCTCGTAGAGATCTTTGATCTTGGAGACTATACATAATATTTAGATGTAAAAAAAAAAAAAAAAAAAAAAAAATATTTAGATGTAACTATATTTTTTTTGTTAACAATGTAAATATTTCGTAAATAGTGAAAAAGTTAGGAATTACAATAAAGTAAAATTTACAAACTGGTCTCATAGAAAAAAAAGATAAAAAACATGGAAGCAAAAAATATTGGTCCACTGATATCGACAAAAGCAATGACGTTTTCAGAGTCACTGAAGTGATAAACAATTTTAAAACGAAATATCTTTTTATCCCCGCCTGACTTTTATCTTACTAGGAATCAGGACCCCCGCGATGTCGCAGGGGAATATATTTCAAAAATCATTTAAAAAAATATCAAACGAAAAAATTATAATGAATTGTAATAATTTTGAATTTTTTAATAACAAATCAATATATATTTTACAAAAATTATGATAAAGAAAACCCTCACAAACATTTATTAAGTATATTAATATTAGAAAAACAAGAATTTGTAACTAAAAAACTATTCCCAAGTGCAAAAAGCATAAACTAATAAACCAAATATTACAATGGTTTGATAAATAAGCCAAAACGTTCAACGTCTAATAAACCAAATGCTATTGTGTTAAATTAAACGGTAACAACAATTCATTTAAATATATTTTAGTATTTAAATATTTTTTTAAAATATGACGAACTTATCCGAGAAACGCAACCGTAAATATCAAATATTCCAAAAGCTGCAACGGTTCGTCAATTATACCAAATGTTGCAATAGTTCATCAAATATACTAAAGATAACAATGGTTCTTAACACAAAACCAAAAGTTGCAATAATTCGTCAAATAATCCAAATGTTGAAACAATTCAATTAAATAGTTACAATCTTATTTAAATACATTTTAGTAATTAAAAATTAAGAATTAAAATAATAATTTATGAAAAGTTATACCGAGAGACGCGGTGGTAGATAATTAAATGTTATAGCTATTTATAAAATAAACCAAAAATTGCAATTGTTCGTGAAATAAACTAAATATATAAACCAAAGGTTGCAATTGTTCGTAAAATAAACTAAATATTGCAATGATTCGAATAAGCGGTTTCAACTGTTTATGAAGAGTTACAATAAAAAACGCAACCGTA